TCTATTCTATTCTATTCTAGTCTAGTCTAGTCTAGTCTAGTCTAGTCTAGTCTAGTCTAGTCTAGTCTAGTCTAGTCTCTAGTCTAGCCTAGTCTAGCCTAGCCTAGCCTAGCCTAGCCTAGCCTAGTCTGGTCTTCAGGCTTCACTTAGGTAAATTTGAAGTCTCTAACCTGTTCCAAATGGTTGTAAGAAATACAACTACTGGTGGATTCTTTATATGGTTCCTCACTCTTCGATTCTGTGATATCACATTGTAAGACTTAATTAATAAATAATTTATAATTGAATTTACAAAATTGATTTTAGTTTAATTGATTTTTTTTTAATCTAAAATTTCGCTTTTTTGTTTTACTCTGTATTTTATTCCTTGTTTGTAAAACACTTAGTGTCTTCAGTGAGATTGGTGGCATACAACTTTGTTAAATCAATAAATAAATAACATCTGAGAGAGGGAACTCAGAAAAAAAAAGCATAAGCATTGTGACAACCAATGGATCCTCCTCATGACCATAGTAACATGCATTCTTCTTTTATTGATGATCTAATGCAGTGGTTCCCAAACTTGGCAATTTTAAGACTTGTGGACTTCAACTCCCAGAATTCTCCAGCCAGCTTGGCTGGAGTTGCCAAGTTTGGGAACCACTGATCTAATGTATGATGAATTATTGGTATTAAATTTTAGAATAAAATCTGTTCTGAGAGAGTTATTAATTTTGTATTCTGCTAGATTTATTAAACAGAATAAAACTCTGAAGAATAAGTACACTTAAGGAAAATTCCTTAGAAATCAGAGCTGTGTATATTTGACTGTTGACAAAATAATACTAAAACTTAACCACAGAGTTTCTAGAACTGTCCTGAGATTAGAAACTAATGTAGTATTTCCTTTCCAAATTGTCCTTCATTACTACAAGTATCTGATAGGGTTATTTTTTGCATTAAACTCATGTTTCAGTGCTTCAGGTTTTTGGGTAAGAGCATTATCTTGCATCAAACCAATCACTGTCATTTCAGGTGAACTCAAAGCCTTGGCTCATTCCTAGGATCAGAAGGCATATTGCACTATCCCAATGAGCTGAAAAGAGAGGTATGGAATAAATATACAAATTAACAGAGTTGGAAGGGACCTTGTAGGTCATCTAGACCCCACTCAAGCAGCAGACCCTACACTATTTCTGACAAGTGGCAGTCCAATATGTTCTTGAAAAGTTCCAGGGATGAAAATCCCACAACTTCAGAAGGCAACTTCTGTTCCATGAGTTGATTGTTCTCACTATCAGAAAATTCCTCCTTATTTCTAGTTTGAATCTCTTCTTGATCAGTTTCCATCCATTATTCCTTGTTTGGCCTTGGGGTACCTTGGAAAATGGCTTGACCCCTTCCTCTCTGTGGCAGCCCCTCAAATATTGGAACACTGCTATCATGTCTCCCCTGGTCCTTCTCTTCACTAGACTACCCATGTCCAGTTCCTGTAACTGTTCTTCATATGTTTTAGTGTCCAGTCCCTAATCATTCTGGTTGCTCGTCTCTTCATTTTTTCTAGAGTCTCAACATCTTTTTAAAGTGTCGAGACCAAAACTGGATGCAGTATTCTAAGTGTGGTCTTACTAAGCCTTTATAGAGTGGTATTAGTACCTCACTTGATCTTGATTGTATCCCATTGGCTTTTTGGGCTGCCACTGCACACTGCTGGCTCCTATTTAACTAGTTGTCTACTAAGACTCCCTCTCACAGTTACTGCTCTTCAGCCTGGTCTATATGTGTACTTTGGGGTTTTCTTATCTAAGTGTAGGGCTTTATTTTTCACTACATTGAATTTCATTTTGTTAGATAGGGCCCAATGTTCACGTCTGTCAAGGTCTATCTGGATCTTGAGCCTATCATCAAGTTCCTGCCAACTTAGTATCATCTGCAAATCTGTTAAGTTCACCTTCTATTTCCTCATCTAAGTCATTTATGAAGATATTGAAGAGTATGGCAAAATCTGAACTACTTAAAAAGATCATCTGACCAGGACAACCTGAATCCCAATTTCAAAATTTATTTCTATTGGATTAAGAGTACCTCCATCCAGTCTTGATTCAATTTCATAGCTATCAATCCAAAGCTAAACCTGGGCACTGATCAAACTAATCGCTTTCTTCTTTGTTATTTGAGGACTGGTAACTAGTGAGGCTATCAGCAACACATTGTTGAGAACTTGATGGGCTCTCCCACAGGTTTTATGGAGATAAAAGATTGCAGAGGGAACCCACAAAGCCACGATCTGTGTCGTAAAGAATAATCACCAAGCATTCCATATTGGACATAGCTGAATCAGCTTTAAACAATGTTCCATATTATAGCCTTTGAAGGACACCTTCGTCAATAGTACTGAGGTCTCATAAGCAGTTCTCCACTTTAAATTCTCACCAAAGGTCTGTGATTTTGACTTTGCCCACATGAAATTGGTCCTCAGGCTTTGAAAAAACAGAAGAAAGACACTAATATTCTCCCCACCTTGTTGACCACCTTTAGCCATGAAAGAGAATCCTGATTCATACTCAATCTCTGTCTGTCAAAACTCCCCATTTGCTTTTCAATGGGATGCTCATTGGGAAGAATCACTGAGCTCATAATGTTCAGATCTGCTTCTATGTCTCCATTTGGGTCCAAGTATAGTTTCAAATGAGAAATATTGCAAAGCTCATTTTTTTCCAGAAAGGGATGAAGCTAGAACAGAAAAAATCCAGGAAGTTTAAAACCAGAAATTTTACAGTTTTAGAACTGAGCCAATGAATGAGACAAATTCAGTCTCACCTTTACTGATTGTCTTCATGTAAAGACCAAACAGCCACCAGTCAGAAAAGCTATAACTGGGATTCCTTTAGAGAGAGGGGCTGTGGCTAAGTGTTCTAAGGGTTTCCTTCAAATTTATATATGTAAAATTCTATGATGCTAATCACAAAGCTATATATACAGAAATGTATTTAAAATGAATGCACCCTTTTTTAAATTAGCAGTATTTTCATATCCAAAATATATTTGCTATGCTCCCCACTCTTCGGAAGATCTTCCCTCAGTAGATTAGATTGGCCAAATCCATTGATCTTTATTAACTTTTATTAACCCCTTATGCTGTGGCCTAGGGGTGGAGCTCTCACCTCACAATCAGAAGGTTGTGAGTTCGATCCTAGGTAGAAGTAGATGTAGGGTCTCCTGCTTGGGCAGGGGGTTGGACTAGATGCAAAATCCCTTCCAACTGTGTTGATCTGTAACCCTGCGCTATTAGCACAAGTAGATTGAAAGGATTTCCTCCTTTGGATTCCTTCCCAGAAGGAACTGGGGTTAATGATCCTTGTTGGGAATCATCTACTGTACCTGCCATGGCTGAATCCTTTGATCCCCCAACCTCTCTTTTCCCTCCTTTCTTCTCCTCTTGGATCTGGAGGAATATGCAGCATTCAAGATGTGGGCCAGAGCCTTAACAATACTGTAAAAATTGTGGTCTTTTTCGACCCAGATGCCATTCCATTTCTGTTGGGTCCTCACTGATCTTTTCTGTGTGCATCTTTTTCGTTGTTTGACAGAAAAAACATGCTTTGAAGAAGAACAGTGAAAACAGCGGCTTTGAAATTGGGATACCCCAAGGAAATGGGATTCCAAGGCATTTTCTTTTGACCTTTTTTTCCTTTGATAAATGAAGGTCCAAATACTATGGATGAATTTGTAAAAGTTGTTCCTTTTAAACTTCCATTCTAAAAAGGTGGAGATGATCCAGATTTTCCCTTCAATGGGTCCTGGCAAATGTGTAAGTGCTAAATGGACAGGATGAATTGCGACCATGATAGTACCAATTCTGATAAAGAAAACAAAGACATTGACTTGTCTCCACTTAGAAATAGCAGCCCTGAGGGGTATTATTGGTGTGGTGGATGGAAAAAAATGTGAAATAACAACACAAATTCCATTCCTGAAAAGTATAGGAGTCAAAGCCATCATAGATTTCTCTCCCTCCTCTGTTTCTGGAGCAAAGAGACCAATCAAGGTCCACCTGAAATGGAGGAGCAGTTGAACAATTGCTGGGTAGTGGACCCCTTCTTTGGGGGCCATCCGGTAGAAAAAGGGGAAATGACTTTTATCACTTAGAGCCTTTGAAGAAGTTGCATAAGTGATCTGAAAATGCAGCGAAGAATGTTGCATTATATTAACATTATATATACGTATATTGTGGTTCATATCATCCAAATTTTTAATAAATCGAATGGTTACCATCAACATATTAGAGCAATTTATTGTTCATTAGCCATAAGGCCACAGCAAGGCATAGAATATAAAATTTATGTTAATAAATTATGATGTAAATAAGAACAAAAAGAAATAATTAACAAATAATAAAGAATGCAAATCATATTTAAGCATGCTTACAATTTATCACAAACAGACCTGCTATATATGCAGATAGCAACTGAATTAGTTTGTTCAATAAAAGACCCTGTTAAATATTTTGTTTTAATTTTGATTGCCCATACATACATACATACACACACACACACACACACACACACACACACACAC